CTGTCAGCACATTCCTGAGGCCCATCCAGAATAAAGTATAAAAAGTTAATGAGAAAAATAAATGTTAATACTTTAAAAGGTGGGGGCACGGTCACAGAAGGTGGTTTGGGTGTGATGTCAGCGAGCGCCGCACAGAACGCCGCCGTCCTGTGAATCGCAGGTGATCAGGCTGGTCCCTCACACCAGCACGCCTTCAAACACTCAAACTTTATTAGCACAGCAGCTGTTTCACACATCCACAGCTCCCTGATCCACCAAGTGTGTGTCTGATGTCAGGTTAGCCCTCCTTTATAAAGTCAGCTGTTGGTACAATAATCAATGTGACTGGTCAGCTGTTGGTGGCCCCGCCCCTTTATGTGATGGCCAGCTGAGCGCCACGTGAACCCGGGGGCAGAGAAACTGCACCCAGGTCAGTTTCACGCCCACAGCAGGAGTGTGATCTTTGATCCGTTTCTGGTCATTCACAAAGTGTATTTTAGTAAACTTCAGGTGTCAGCCTGCGGAGCAGGTGAAGGGTCATCCTCCAGCTGTTTGTTTTTTTAACTTTATTTAACAAACAATGAGTATACAACATACGAACAGATGAAGTATACAAAACAACAAAATGAACACACAAAGCCAGGGGTAAATAGAAAAAAGTAACAATTATAAGAATACACGCAAAAATTCACATACATATATTGTTTTGAGCGTTTTTGTTGGTGCAGTCTGATATTGATTGTATGTATATTTCCACATCCTTAAAATAATGACAGAAATATGGTGTTTTGTTAGTAAACTTACATTTATGGATAAGAAATTTAGCTAAAAGTATTTACCATACAAAAACATTTATCATTCTTCTTGGGGAACTTAAAGAAACAAAACATTTTCCCATCGTAAAGAAAACTCCCTTAAAATATGGACAATGACAAAACCCTCCAGCTGTTAGTCTACTGAATGCGGAGTCATCACGTGTCACATGAACTACTCCATCTCAGGTCCTCAAGAACGTTTCAAGGTCCTGGAAGGTGCATAGAGAACACGTCCAGAAAGCATGGCAGGACCTCAGGGAGTCTGAATCCGAGGGAAAATAATCAGATTACACACACACACTTTTTCTCTTGAGTCTGTTTGAAGCAACATCGGTAAATCTCCCCGTGGAGGCCTCACGGAGAGCCGTAGGCCGTCTGAGGCGCGCTCCAGTCCAGCAGAAAAAACTGATCCTGTCCTCCGGCCGCGGGGGGCGCTGTCCTCTCGTCACAGAAGGGCGGTTACTTTTCTGTTTCCGGGTTTTTGGAGAGCAACGTGTGGAGGCAACCCGCATCTCGGCACCAAAACACTCCGACACTCCGAACCAAAGTGACCGAGCGGGAACGACTGTAGTCCGGCCTGACACATCGGAGACACCGGAACGTCCTGCAGCCATGGGCCCGGTGAGTGAGAGGCTTAAATCCGCCGTTTAATGAACGGAGTCTGGTCTGAGAGAACAACCATGCTCAAAGCGTCTGTGTCCTCACAGCCCGAGTCCACAGAAAACCCACGATTTTAGAGTAAGACTCATTTTAAAACAGCTCCCGGGTGTTCAGAGGGATACCAGAGCCCCAAAATAACGGCGCATTGAACGGAGTGTGGTCCGAGCACACACGGTGATGGCGCCTCCATCAGAGCCCGCTGCTACTTTACGCCTGACAACATCACAAACGGTCACGTGGAAGGACTCAGTGTCTGATGGTCTGCCCCGAGTCAGCCACTCTGTGTCCCACTCAGGAAAGAAACACACCTCATCATCCACCCAGCTACGTAGCACATGTAGTGTCCTGTAGTACCAGGAAGTGTGAGGTAGTACTGTGTAGTGTTTATTTA